TGTGAGAAACCATTTTAAGAAGGATGTTAAGTAAAATTTGCTGGTATCACGAGGCTTGATGGCATTATAATGGGGAAAAAACATCCACAATCTGGCGTCAAATTGTGTAGACGAACTATGGTTACTATAAATGATTGTTTGAAGTTCATGTCTGTCTCGTGGACCACTGACACTCGTGGCAGTGTGGCGAAGTGGTCTTTGGCGTGTCAGAAGAATACGCCGAACCACAGAAACCATGGTTAGAGCCCCGCCAAAGCGTTGACGAAGCCAAGGCAAGATCGAAACTGCAGCCCACACCAGCCGAGATGAGAATACCTGCTGGGAAGCATGCGGTCTATTGACATAATTAGGGAAAAATTGCTCCAACAGTCCGATTTGAATAAAATTCCTATTCAGGTGACATTAAATGATCTTTTTGACTAGTTGTAGCTTAGTGCTAAGCATGACAAGGCTGACTGACGATGCCGCCGACACGTGAAAATGTGCCAAATCTACAGCCATACTCTGGAGATTATTATGACCAGTGTGGCAGACATCGCCTTGACTACAAGATCAAGTTGTGAAGGCAAGGTAGAGCTACTTCAATACTCCCACTCGAATCACTTACAACCGACTTTATTTCGAAGTTAAAAGTCGAGTCGCACCAAAGTATTAAGTGATTCTTCGAACCCGGCTTTTCTTTGTATTTTATATGAGGATTAATTTCCTATTCAAGTTTTATGAGGCTTTCCACTGGCATACCTTAGTCCAGGCTTCATGTGATCCTGGGGCGCTTAGCAAGAGATCCACATAAGTCTACACCACACACTTTGGTTGATCTGTTGCACTTTTGTGCAGATCTAGGGGCTCGATTCGAGGCCCGTTGCTGGCCTGACTCAAAGCTTGACGACCGACCTATTCGCTCGTCAACGAGCATAGCCACAGTTCGAGGCCGGCCGCAGGTACGGCTGAGGCGAGGTGGAATTTGCAGTTGAGCTCGTTGGAGGACAGAACTTTAGGATGTGGAAAAGAGTTGAGCCTCGAAGGGTCCCTTGACGCTGATGTATTATTTCGTTTGAAAAGGCGAATGGAATGGATTCAGAAGGTGGGTCGCCTTGGAGCTATGAATGTATAATTCTGCAAATTTGTCGTCTGACCACCGTCCCGCGCTCCCAACGAATCCGTGCTGACCTTTCAACCGGCGTGTGACGGACAGACTCAGAGCGAGAAAGCATCATTTAGGAGAATTCATCAAAAACCTATTGCCACTAAACAGAAGGTCACACCATCTTGGTCTTCATGCCTACGACACATTGGCTGATTTAGAGTTTTTTGGAAAATTTTTTGAACATCATGTCTTATGGTTCCGACGATGCCCGTTCACATGGCGGATGAAAGCTCGGCATCATAAAAGGCTGTTGTTATCTATTTACATTTTGCTTGAAGATGCTTCCCCGGAAGTCGAAGAAGGATTGCTCTGAAGCTATGAAGCAACTGTATATTTGTGTGAACAAGTTCTCGATGCTCCAACCCACGAAAACAATGAATCCTTGCTAAGCTTGCGTCCGTCATACGACCTTTTTAGGTTAAGCGATTTTGATCACATGACACATGATGGGTGAAAGTTTAGTGTAGGTTCATGGAGGACTTATTCGCACAAATCTACAGCTACAGCTTCAAGGCAATTTTTCTTCGGCTTCCGGTGAGACCAAATATCGAGGCTTTTTCACTCGCCTCTTCAAACAACAGCCTTTTAGGATGCTCAAATGAAACATCTTCTTCCTTTCTAGACGGGCTGACTGCCTGTCGACGAAAAAAAAGGCATTATTCAAAACTGGTCCACCTCAACAACAATCAGCCAGAAACTCCTCCCCTCTCTGCCTCGGAGAGCTGGGGGTTGTAGGCGCTCGTGGTTCGACTTCGCCCGACAGCCTCGTCAATCCGGATTACTTGTAACTTTTTCGCATAAAGTCTTGCTAATCTCTCCTAATCAGCCTGGGCTCGACTACACAATGGGCTGCTGGCCTCGTTCCTTCGTCTCCCTCCGATCGCCTCCACCTCGACGGCCAGTTCGAGTTCAGCCCGACCGCAGTTGCACAGGCCCCCAGGCCGGAGGCTGTATGCAGATCAACCCGAGCGTACACCGTGTCCCATACGCGACCATACTGGCCCCCTTTTTTCGATCCTGAGCCCAGCGAAAGCATTTGGCCGGCTCGACTGCAATCTTATCTCCAGCCGGCATCTTCCACACTGGCGCACGCCCGTCTCTACGCCTACAAGCGCACACATCCCTCCATTAAGATATGCATAAATCATACAAACATACATACACATACATACGTACATACATGCAC